CCCTGATACAATTACTAAAAAAGGAAAGAAAAAAAAACTTTATAAAACTGGGTTTTCTTTAAATGTGCTGGATGTAGTGCGGTGACAAGAAACAGATGATTTCTGATGTTATGAATGAAAAGAAGTTGGATGTCCTGGCCCTAAGCGAAACAAACTGAAGGGGAAGGGGAGTTTTTGTGGGGGGAAAAAAATGGGGTTAAACTGGTATTGAGAGAGTTTAGAGCAAAGGAAGGGTAGCAGTAATGTTAAATGACATTATGGAAGGAGAAAAGAGAATAGAATGGAAATTCAAGAATTATGTGGGTTAAGTAAAGGGTTTGGGTGCGAGAAGTGGGGGCATAATAAGCGTGATGCACCTGGAAAGAAGGAATGCAGAGGAAAGAGAGATTTTGGAGATTTAATGAATGATAGGGGCCTTTGAACCAAGGAGAGAGTAATTGTGGTAGGGACTTGAATAAAGTAGGAGAAACTTTTAGGAGGGGGTGGGAGGTAGTTGGGTCCAGGTTAAATGAAATGGGGGCCCTTTGATTGAAAATTTGTATAGAAAAGGGGGTTTTGTTATAGGTAATAATATTTTAAGAAAAAGAGAAAATAAGTATACACGTAAGATGTAGGGGGAAAAAAAAGTAGTTTTTGGATATGTATTTGGTGATAAAAAACTGTTACTAGACTTCAGGATGTACATGTTTTTAGAGGGGCCACAGATATATCAGATCACTTTCTAGTTGTAGCTACACTGAGAGTAAAAGGTAGATGGGATACAAGGAGAATAGAAGCATCAGGGAGAGAGAGGTGAAGGTTTATAAACTAAAAGAGGAGGCAGTTAGGGTAAGATATAAACAGCTATTGGAGGATAGATGGGCTAATGAGAGCATAGGCAATGGGGTCGAAGAGGTATGGGGTAGGTTTAAAAATGTAGTGTTAGAGTGTTCAGCAGAAGTTTGTGGTTACAGGAAAGTGGGTGCAGGAGGGAAGAGGAGCGATTGGTGGAATGATGATGTAAAGAGAGTAGTAAGGGAGAAAAAGTTAGCATATAGAAGTTTTTACAAAGTAGAAGTGATGCAAGGAGGGAAGAGTATATGGAGAAAAAGAGAGAAGTTAAGAGAGTGGTGAAGCAATGTAAAAACAGAGCAAATGAGAGAGTGGGTGAGATGTTATCAACAAATTTTGTTGAAAATAAGAAAAGTTTTGGAATGAGATTAACAAGTTAAGAAAGCCTAGAGAACCAAATGGATTTGTCAGTTAAAAATAGGAGAGGAGAGTTATTAAATGGAGAGTTTAGAGGTATTGGGAAGATGGAGGGAATATTTTGAGGAATTGTTTAAATGTTGATGAAGATAGGGAAGCTGTGATTTCGTGTATAGGGCAAGGAGGAATAACATCTTGTAGGAGTGAGGAAGAGCCAGTTGTGAGTGTGGGGGAAGTTCGTGAGGCAGTAGGTAAAATGAAAGGGGGTAAGGCAGCCGGGATTGATGGGATAAAGATAGAAATGTTAAAAGCAGGTGGGGATATAGTTTTGGAGTGGTTGGTGCAATTATTTAATAAATGTATGGAAGAGGGTAAGGTACCTAGGGATTGGCAGAGAGCATGCATAGTTCCTTTGTATAAAGGCAAAGGGGACAAAAGAGAGTGCAAAAATTATAGGGGGATAAGTCTGTTGAGTGTACCTGGTAAAGTGTAGGTAGAGTTAAAATTGAAAAATTAAGAGAAGACGAAAATAGGATAGCAGATGAAAAAGGAGCTTTAGGAAAGGGGGGGGGGTGTGGACCAGGTGTTTACAGTAAAACATAAAGTAACATATTTAGATAAGGCTAAAGAGGTTTTTTTGTGGCATTTAGGGTTTTTGGGAAAAGGCTATGACAGGGGGGAAAATGGGGGGGCAATGTGGCAGATGTTGCAAGTGTAGGGTAGGGGGTGGGTTACTGAAAGCAGTGAAGAGTTTTTTTACGAGATAGTGGGGCCAAGTTAGAGTATGTGGGAAAAGGAAAAAAATTTCCCAGTAAAAGTGGGCCCTTAACAAGGATGTGGATGTCACCATGGTTTTGTTTAATATTTTTTAAGATGGGGTTGAAGAGAATAAATGCGGGGGTCTTTGGCAAGAGGCTGGGTTAAAAATAAAGAATCACACACAAAGGGGAGTTTCACGCTGCTCTTTGCTGATGAACTGGGCCTTGGGAGATTCTGAAAGAATTGCAGGTTTGGGTGAGAATTTGGTAGGGTGTGCAAAAAAAAAAAATTAAAAGGGTGAATACAGGAAAAATAAGGTTATGGGATAAAAAAAAATTTAGGTATGAAAGATTTAATATCAATTGGAGGGGAGAGTATGGGGAGGTAACGTTTCAGATATTTGGGAGTGACGTGTCAGCGGGTGGGGCTATGAAAGATGAGGTTCATAAAATTGTGAGGGAAAAAGAGTGGGGTGGGGGCACTTAGGAGTCTGTGGAGCAAAGAACTTTTTCCTTGGGCAAAGAGGGAATGTTAAGTAATTTTACCAAAGCTCTTAATGGGTGGAAGCGTGGGGGTGAAAGTTGCAGCGAGGAGAAGGCTGGAGGCATGGAGAGTCGTGTCTGAGGGCAATGTGTGGTGTGAATTAATGCAAGGAAAACGAGTTTGGAATTAGGGGGAGTGGGGGGATTACCAAAACTGTTGTCCAAGGCTGAGGGAAAGGGTTGTTGAGGTGGTTCGGACATGTAGGAGAATGGGGCGAAACAGAGCTTCAAGATGTTCAGTCTTAGTGAAGGGAAGGCGGGGGGGGGTTTGGCCTAGGAAGGTTTGGGGGGGGGGGGTAAAGGAGGTTTTTTTGTGCGAGGGGGTTGGACTTCCACAGGGCCCTGCGGAGCGTGTTTGATAGGAGTGAATGGGGACAAAAAGGTTTTTTTAAAACTTGACGGCTGTGGGGTGTGAGCAAAATAACATTTATAGGGATTCAGGGAAACCGGCAGGCCGGACTTGAGTCCTGGAGATGGGAAGTACAGTGCCTGCACTCTGAAGGAGGGGTGTTAATGTTGCAGTTTAAAAACTGTAGTGTAAAGCACCCTTCTGGAAGACAGTGATGGAGTGAATATGGTGAAAGTTTTTCTTTTTTTTTGGGGCCCCCCTGCCCCTTTGGTGGGAATCGGCCAGTGTGATAATAAAATAAAAATAATAATAATTCTTACTCTACATTACAAATTACAAATGAGTAAATGGATTTACAATAGTGAGATAGTTCAGAACATTTAAGAATATAACAATTTGTAAAGTTAGTAATGACTCTGAACCTTTCTCTGACACATCACTCCATTAACAATCATTTACAGCCTCTCCTCATTTAGTGACGTACTCGTTTACCAACTACTCGGACTCACAACCAGCTTACCAACCAGTATGCAAGCCTAAGTAATGTATATTAGAGCTGATTTCCTCTATTCTGTTTATTACAGTAGTATACAGTACATTACTGTATAAACATTTAAAAATATACTAAAAATGTTATATATGGTGCAAAGGTGACATTAAAAAAATATCTAAAGATGGCTGACACAAACCCATTACCAGTACAGTATGCTCCTCGCTTAAAGATCAATTCACTTACTGACCTGCTCTTAGGAAAGGAACCCCATCGCTAAATGAGGAGAGGCAGTTTTTATTCCTTTAGCAAGTTGCATTTTGGAAGATGTTCTTGAAAATAAAGCTGACAAAATAAAAACTATGGCCCACAGCTAGCTTGAGCTTCATCCTATGTATTAAAAGTATACTGCTGTGCTGCTTTACCCTTTCACTGTATTATTAATTATCTGGCTAGTTTCTTGAAGTGTATAAATTATGACTTTTATCTTTTGCATTATCTGTTCTGTATCTAAATAATGTCTATTTTCTACATTTAGCATAATTTTTCCTTGAAAGTTAGGCTGAATGGTGAAAATCTGACAAATATTTAAATTCAAATAAGTGATTCAAATCTAAGTCAATATGTTATCCAATTATACTCCAAAAACATGCAGAAAGATGTTCCTGTGCTTGTTGAGGCTAAGGGATGTTTTATCCTCCTACTTCTCCACATCACAATTATTAACATTGTTAATCTACCTATCATTATCTTGGTGTAAAAAAAAAGCTTAAGTTTCATCCTTCATTCTTCTGTTTCTGATACAATCTATAATGTTATAAGGAACATGATGAACATGTAACACCATAATCACTAATATACTGTAAAGATTTTTACAAGACAATGTCAGTCTGAAGAAATAAATATCCTCCTAATACAATGTTTTGCCCTAGCCTGGGCTTTATTAAGTATATCCAGTATTAGCATACAAAAGGATGCATGGTATAATGCATCCATTGTGAATGCCATACAGTGCTTAACCCTAATGAGGTATTCACAGGTGTGGGTTATGAAACAAGTGTGATGAACCTCACATTTATTTCAATGAGTGTTATTTTATATGTTACTCAGAATCAACAATAAATTCTGATCAGTGATTTTTTTTAATAGTACAATGGGTGTTTCCCACTGAGGCCGGGTGACCATCCCATCCCCCCCCCCCCCAAGAAAACATAAAAAACTTTCATCATCACTTTCTCCATCACTGTCTTGCCAAAGGCATGCTGATACTACAGTTAAAAAACTGTGCTGTGTGACCCTTATGGGTTTAGCACTTTATGATTATAATAATTATAATAATAATTATAATAAATAATAATTATAATAATAATTATAATAAATAATAATTATAATAATAATTATAATAATAATAATAATAATAATAATAATAATAATAATAATAATAATAATAATAATAATCCACCCCTTCTTCAGAGTGTAGGCGCTGTACTTCCCACCTCCAAGATATATTTTAATATTTGTCTTTGCCAGGTACAGGGTGTCCTGGTATAACAGATAAAGGTTAGGATTAATGAAAATAACATGCATAACTTTACTGCAGCTTTCATTTTTTTTTTTACATTTTCAGAAAGATTGTAAATACATGTATGCAGAGCATATCAGCATGACTTACCAAGGATAAGAGCCATTTGACCACAGAGACAATAGTAGACTATGAGAGGTTTATCCTCGCTATACTCTTGCTGGTCTTTGGCATCTGAAACCACCACGCTGCCAGACACAACTTTTGGCATTGTTCTCACAGCATGCACACGTGTCCTGCAAGATTTGATAATGAAATAACGACTTGTAAATAATGAACAAATATGGAATTCATATATATTTTAAGACTAATTAATTGCATATAAATAGATATCTCACAAAAGCAAAAGGTAAGAGCAAACATCTGTGTTATGAGAGCCAAATCAAGGCATTTTCTTCTTCGCCTTGAATTACTAAGTAAGGTTATTTAGGTTCAGGTACACTTAAGTACAAATATCATACATAGTGTAAATTACCCACCAGGATAACCCAAAGAAAGTCAGACCAATTGACTTATTTCCATTGTTGTTCTTCTTGATTCACCGGTACTCTCCCGGCCTGGGTCTTTTCCAGATTGTGACCCAGCCTTGGCTCCCTGTCTTGGGAGTGTCACAGACCTATGTCTGCCATGGGAGGAGGTAAAAGTACCTCCTCATCTCCTGGGACCAACTGTCCCCAGGCCTAGCCCCATTCCCCGCCCTCACGGGGCTCGTAGGGAAAGGCCAGGCTTCTGGTCTACCATCTTCCTCACCCAGGGAAGCTCGTGGGAATGACAGTCTTGTGAGCTGCAGGTGGTAGCAAGCTCTGGCTCTGGCACCTCCCCCGCCCTAAGATGCGTTGTGGGAGTGGTGTCTGCTATTTCTATTGGAGTCTAGTGGGACCCCTGGTTCACTCTCTCCTCACCTGACACAGTCATGTTTGCAACACATGACTCTTCCTTACTTATTCTTTCTACAACATATACTATTATCATTGGGGAGTGCTAAACCCGTAACGATTATACAGCGTCTGTGTGGGGAGGGGGAGAGGCAATCAGGCTCAATTCAAGGATCTGTATTCCAATTCCCTAGATCAAGAGCTCATTACAAGCATCATATAACTATTGTTACCATGTACTCTCTAAGACATACAAGAACATGATCCCCAAACAAATCGTCTCAAAGTTTTTTAGTCCTACTGCGAGTCCTTTTTTATGATTGTTGGTTTTTACCCATTCTCAAACTTACTCTTCCCCAGAAATATTAAAATAATATAGTAATAATCCTGTCACTAAGATAAACTACTAAACTAGCCAAGATGAACCACATACAGTAATTATGGTGGTAGTTAACACTTGTTAGGATCCCAGTAGATATAAACGTTGTTACTAGTGTTGTTGGGGTTCGTAGGGCCACTGACAGCTTACGCCGTGTTGAGTCTTGTTTCCAGTGTCCGGAAAAGAAACCTCGACCATGGTGGAAGGAAGTTTATTTATTTATTTATTTATTTATTTATTTATTTATTTATTTATTTAGTAATTTAAGCATACATACAGAGGTACAAAAAAATACAGGTAAGAGCAGCATGCCAAAGCCACTTATATGCATAGCATATAAATGGCTTAAAATTAACTTAAGATTAACTAAGCAATGATGAAATCAGTGATAAGACATTATTGTAAACAGATAACTATAAAGCACAAATGAGTATTACAAAGACAGGTCATATGGTTGCTTGCATTGCTGTACATTCAGTCGAATGGAGTATTCTGTTAGATTGGGTTTTAGGTTTAACATTTATGTGATATAATTGTATAATTGTAAGTAAGTAAGTAAGTTTATTCAGGTATACACAAATACAGTTACATAGAATTATCATACATAGCAGCATGTGTGTAGAGAACCTAGGATTACCCAAAAAGTCAGAGTGACTTATTTCCATTGGGGTCCTTTTACCTTATTATTATAATATAAAGGTTGTAATATTTTCTTATTATTCTATAATGAAGATAACATCTTATTATCATATTATAAAAACTATCTAGTACACGAGGATCATTAAGACTATCTATAATACGAGGGTCATTACTAGGAATAAGGTAAAATTTATACGTATGTTAGCTAAAAAATAGAAAATGATTCCCCTCCCTTTCTGTAGCTACATTCACCAGACACCTTTTGGCACTCTTCTTGAACTGGTTCATGCTATGACTGACTTTGACATGTGCGGGTAGTCTGTTCCATTCCTTTATTGCTGTACAATAAAAGGTGTTTGAAGCCTGGCCACTGACTGTGGGTACTACAAAGTTGTGCTCTCTCCCCCTAGTACTATGATTGCTTTGGTTCCCAACCTTGACAAAATTGACAGCAAGATATTCTGGACTAAAAATACATTCAGAGACTTCTTGTATGTGTGTTAATAATATGGTACATACAATGATATAATGGATGGTACAGGCGAGGTCTTACACCTTATCACAAATTACAAAGATGAAAAGAGAAAGAGAGAGAAAGAAAGAGAGACAAAGTAGGTAATATTGAGCATAAAATTAGATTTCTGACATATATCACATTAAACAAGAGGTTCAAATTCAATGATAACTTCCACTTGAGTTAGTTCAGGCTACTGCCACCTAATGTACCTCACTGAAATAATAATATAGCGGACATCACAATGAATGCTGAAGACAACCTCTTACCCCAACCATAGATTGTAAACAATATTACTAAAAAAATAAAAAAAAATAAAAAAAAACTAGGTAATGTTACAATGACAATGAGATAAATCACTCTGGTCGACTTGCTCGTTTCCTAAACATCGAAGTGTACCTACCCCCTAAACGTAGGTGTTACAAATGCCATCACTATGGCCATGTTGCAGTAGACTGTGGAATACTACATTCTTGGTGTGGTAAGTGTGCTGGGAAACATTCCACTAGAGAGTGCACAGTAGGCCCTGACAGCCAAAAATTTAAGTGTATTAACTGTAAAGAAGTTGGGGTTACAGTTTCCCACAAGGACTGCAGTCAGAACCCAAACAACCTTCGATGTAAACCTGATAACAACCCTTTAATGGTAACTGAGTGAGGCAATCCAGTACTACCACAGCAGATCTGAGACTGGACACTGCAAAGTGTGCAAGACTTCCCTCACACCACTGCAAAGGATCTGGTCGATACAAGAATGCCATCACACACACCAGCTAGCACATGTGGAACTAGTGGTCTGCCACTACAGATACCTATGGCTACACTGAATATGGGGATGAGTTTGTCATTTCTCCAATACACGACACTACAACAGATCAGACGGACACCACACAGGTAAGCCCCCCTGGAAGTTGGAGATGATCAGATGCACAGGGACCATACCGCAATTAATGATGAAACAGAGAACACTTATGTAACCATGGTACCTGTTAAGTGATTGAACCTGGAGTATTTACCTGAGAGAGTTCCGGGGGTCACGCTCCCCGTCTGCCCGTGCCTGTGACCAGGCCTCGCTGGTGGATCAGAGCCTGATCCACCATGCTGATGCCTGGGCTGCTAGCACGCAACCAACGAACGAGCCACAGCCCGGGCTGGTCAGGAACCGACTTTAGGTGCTTTATCCAGTGCCACATTGAAGATCTGCCAGGGATCTGTTGGTAATCCCCTAAATAAGCATGGAGGCAGTTGAACAGTCCTCGGCCCCTGACAACTTATTGTATGGTCTCTTAACGCTAGCTAGTGACACCCCCTTGCTTTCATTGGGGGGATGTTGCATCGTCAGCACCATCTTTTGCTTTCGAAGTGATGATTTTCGTGGCAAGTTCGGTACTAGTCCCTCTAGGATTTTCCAGGTGTATATAATCATGTATCTCCCCGCCGCTTTCCCCGGGAAATACAGGTTCAGGAACCTAAAGCGCTCCCAGTAATTGAGGTGTTTTATCCCCTTTATGCCGCCTGAAGGTTCCTGTACATTTTCGGGTCAGCAATTCACCTGCCTTGAAAGGTGCTGTTAGTGTGCAGCAATTTTCCAGCCTAGAAGAAAATGCCTAAAATTTCATCATGGGTTTGGGCCTCCCTAGTTTTGAAGGTTTCATTATCATCCTGTCATTTTCTAGCAGTTTTGCGATTGATCAATGTTTGGTTTTGAAGGTGAGACCCTCCGATATGTCACCCCCAGGTCTTTGCGTTGGGTTTCGCTCAATTTGTGGCCAGAAATTTGTTTTGTACTCTGATGAAGATTTTAATTTCCTGGGTTTTTCCCCATTCTGAGTAATTGAAATTTCTCATCATCGAACTTCATATTGTTTTCTGCGCCCACGGTTGGGTAGGTGTTAAGAAAGCACTAACCCAAAGGGCCATCCCCCGGGGAGGCTTTGGTTCCCCTGCCTTCCTCTATTATAACAATTTCCCGAAAAAAATTGGGCATCTTGAACAGATCCTGCAAGTTTAATAAATTTGTAACCCGGTGATGTCTTGAGCATAGTGGTGAAAAAAGTGAGCATCCCCGTTCAGTTCCAGAAATTGCGAGAAAGGCCCATGACTCTTGGCTTAAAAAACTTCCCTTTTAACTGGTGCCAAGATGCCGAAAAAAATTCAAAAAATAAAGGCCGAAGATAAGACGTACAACTAGCTTTTTGCTCAAAAGGGCCTGCACACTGTATAAAAGCATAATATTTTTTACCTTTATGAAAAGGGGGATTGCAAAAATTCACTAAATGGATCATTCAAAATTTTTCATGGAACATTGCTTCCATCAGGAAGCGGTTGCCTGACTTCATCTTTTATGCAACCAAGAATATGATGTCATCTGTTTGGGAAAATGTAGATTGAAAGTGGGCCCTCCCCCAAAACTTCCCTGGATATGCAGCTTATAACCTAAGGTAACCCCCTGTTGTGTAAGTAGTAAAAAAACTTCCCACAGTCACTCCTTTCCTTGCAGAGCGATTACCCTTAGTATCTGGTGTAAAGTACATGCAGGCGATTTTTCCATAAACATTTTTAATCCTATCCCCCCAGCGAACCAGCTTCGCCCCGGGCTTTACCAAAACGCATCAATAGTGAACCTACCATCATTTTGGGAGATTTTAATCCAGAAAAAAATTTTTGGGTGGGTTTTAAAAAAAAACACCAATGGAACTAAACTAGTGAAATTGCAAAATGAGCATGATAAATTTTCGAATTGGGGGCACTACTGAGCCTACTCCCATATATGGGGGCCAATAATCTGTTCTTGTTTTTAAATACATAATACGGCATGACTCTGCATATTTGATGACTTCTATCTGATCACTTCCCAAGACTAACAACTGTCAATTTTGTCACATTCCCAGCAATAAAGGGACTAAATTCAAAAAGGAGGAAACTTATTCTAAAACCAGAAACAAGAGACAATTTATTAACCACTTGGATCAATGTATAAGAATTCGAGCCCTTGGGCACACAAAAATTTAATGATGTTTTAATTCCCCTATGAGAGTGTTCTCCGATCAAGTGGGCAGGAAATGGGAAACAAAGCCCCTCCACTTAATAGCAAAAAAAAACAATGTAAAAACTATAATAAACCACGCACGCAATCTAACACAGCAGCTAGGGGTTGGGAAAGCATACGTGAAGTAGAACCCAACCTGCTCAAATTTCCCAAAGCTGCACTAAAAAATGCAAGGAATAAAAGGGAAGAACTGGGCAACAGGAATGGGAAACATTTTGTTAGTGGATTAAATAGGTCCACCCCTTTGAGTTTGGCTTGGAAATGTTAAAAAAAAAAACCAGGAAAAAATGGCAATGTTGCCATCCCTTTCCTCTTAAAAAAGCAAAGACCTCATAAATGACTGGCCCCAAAACATCCGGCATGAAACCTTCCCATCTCATATTAGAAAAAATTTAGGATACTTTGAAGAAATTTTAAAAAATATTAATTTTATAGCCAAAATACTGAGGGTGATTGCCTCTTTAGAGTATGAATTAGATAAGCTTAACAAAGGGTCGTAATGCTCCTGGAGAGGAGGTTAACCATGAAATTCTCAAAACTCTAAGGCACGTGGCTGATAACCCTTTTGTTGGCACTGTATAATTCGTTACATTGAGGGCGTTCTTCTATTCCTGGCCCAAATAGTCTCATTGTCCCTATCCCTAGCCCCAACAGCCGTACTTTAGGCGATCCCTTAACTAGTTGCTTTGTAAAATTTTTGAAAAAATGAGCTTAAAAGACTGTACTACAGAACGGGACACCAACTTTCCCCTCCCTCAGGGGTTCATGAAAAGAAAAAAGTGTGCAGAACTGTTTTTTCCCTTTCTCACTGCACACACCTTATAGTTTTCACTTTTTTATCAAAAAACTGCATTTGTATTGCGAACAGAACCGTTATATACATGAACTACCAAATGAATTTTGGGTGGTAGCTTACTCTGCGGATAATGGGAACCTTCAAATAGATATCCTCTGTCCTTTCCCAAGGCTTCAAAAGTAAATTCAAAAGAAATGTTTTAGGTACACCGCAGG